GGGTGTCATTAGTAATGAGAGACCCATCCAACACAATTGATTTTCAACTAGAACAGGGAGGTGAGACGCTTTAGGAGGCTGACCACTTCAAGTCTCTCGATTCCCCACATTCGGTGGTGACACTATTCAGCTAGGATTAAGTAGGAAGATCGCCTACTTAATAGCCTCGACACGTCATGAGGATCAAATGACAGAACTATTTAAGGAATTACTCTATTGTTTCTCGGCAGAGATGCCTTCAGTAGACGTCGACAGTAAGAAAAAAAGGTTGTCTGTATTACACACGTTGTTGAGCCGCTTTCTACAGCCCACCAGCTTTTCACATGAAAGTCGAGACTTGGCAGATGTCAGCCAGGGGGTCAGCATGTAGAAGGGACAAACAGGTTAGAGGATGATATACGTTTGGACATAGAATTATGTCTACGACGAAGTAACAGGTGTCTTATAGAAAAAATTTTGTAAAGGACATCACAAGTGAGGGATACTCTGCTTATGTAAATTAACGATCACAAGAAACATAACGAGTGATTAAAAGAAATACTTACGGCTATTATGGATCAGCGTAGCAACGAGTTTGTATCAAGTAGGCGACGCAAGCAGCCAAGCGTTTTAAGTGTGACTTCTTGACACGCTTCGTTACGCCTTTAAGAAAACGCTGCTTCTGTTGACAGGTGCTACCGGTGAGTCACTGACTTAAATATCATAATTTATCATGGAGTTCCAGTTTTGCTCAAGCATCCGCTGCCTTTCTTCGACCTAGCAGATTACCTGTTGAAATATCTCAAAAAACACTGCTTGGAAAATTTGCATGCTCAAAGGACACACGGATGACTGCATCAGATTCAGCCCAATAACGCAAATATACAGTAAACAACGACCAAACCCTCACAAACTTCATTTTCATCGCAAAGCAGAATTCGAGTTCGATAAACAACCGCTGGCTGATCATCGAATAATCGATCAATACGTTTATGCTTTCGTCAAGCAACAGCTGAACTGCTGTTTCCCTACTGAATAGCGTCCGCCTCATATGGAG